CCATACAGGAGGCGTCTTGAAGCTGTCATTGACAACAAAGGCTTTTGTACAAAGTATTAGATAAATTTCAGTAATTTACAAATAACTTCATTTCTGGTCATTTATGGTTTGATTTCTTTGTATGTATGGATCACTTGGGTTGTTACCGACATCTGGTGAAAATTTCATGTCATTAGCACCTCTAGTAATATATTTCCTGAGAAAAATGTTGACGTGTTCAATACTTATTTTACCCGCTGTATCTGTCAACAGGAGGGGTGCACCGATTTTTCTGCACTGATTTCCTTAATTTTGGGAGATTGACCGATACTTAGACAAGACTGGTGGAAAATATTGGCTTCTCATCTACCTCCAGAAAGGTATGAAAATCAGCCACGGTTCCCAGTTAAAATTTTTTTTGTATTGTTTCAAGGGAAACTAACTTATTTTATTAAAAAACATTAAACCTGTATTGTGACCTCATAACACTTGACAGTGTCAGTGAAAAAAAAAATCGGTATGGTTAAAATTATAATCAGCAGGTTAGATATTTTTAAAGATCGGTGATGGGACAGAAAACTGTGATTGGTGCACCCCTAGTCAGCAGTTAGCTGTTGTAGTTGATGGTGAGACAAGGAGATAATGTTATTGTATATCAGTAATTATTGTTATTAAGTACTTTGCTATCAGATGCTACAATAACTGCTCCATTTACAATTTCTTGCAAAATGTCAAAACACACAGTACATGCACACAGTACATTAAAATCAGACATCTATTTTAAAAAAAGTATAATAGAATATTTTGACCTTTGAGGTACATTAAAAAGGCTTTATTGCTGTGTGTCACATAAACGATTAGTTCAGTAATTATGAAGCAGCAAAAAACCTGTCAGATTTTTTAAGCCTGAAATTTTCTAAAAGGTAACAAAGGTTTAAAGGGGCAATATTATGTGTTTCTCAGGCATACATATAAATACTATACCATAATAAAGTATCTATGTCACCTTTAGTTGTTATTAAATGCAGTTTAATTGGCATCTGAAAATACATTTCCTCAAAGGTATTTTGAACCTGGAAAGGGCTTCACTGAGTGAGAAGTAGTGTTAAGAGCAGCAGACAGTTTAGGTTTCACTTTCAGTTTCACTCGTTGTTTGCATTGTTGCTGCCGAGAGCCTGTAGGAGTCATGGGCGGGGTGTGTGTGTGTG